CCGATCAGCACGCTCAGTGTTTGCAGACCGCCCTGGCGGACTCGTTTACACTTCCAAGCTCAAGCCAGGCGCCGCAGGCCATAAAGAGGAGCGCAGATTAAAATGGCGCCGCAGGCTCCCCGGGCCGTCCGCGCACAGAACCTTTATCTAGAAACAAAACAAAAAAATCGATGAGACACCACGGGCTGGGGGGGCTGCGATCTCCATCTCTCCAGTACTCTCCCATCCACCAGCGTCGCTACATCTTGGGCCGGATCCAGTCAGATCTCCGATCTCCATCTTCAATCTCCAATCTCCAACGTCGTCATCTGGAATTTTCACAGCAGAAAAAGAAATTTTCCGCGGAAATCACGATGTCAACCTTTCGTTGATCTGGTGCTTGTAGGGCTTGAGAGTGGCCTGCCATGTCACAGGAAGAACTGTGGTTGCAGGATAGTACCACCAGCCATCACTTTAGTTGGTATATTACCCCACCTTCACCCCTCGCGTGATTTCTTTTTTAGTTTCCCATAAGTAAGGTAGGTAGGTAGGTAGGTAGGTAGGGGCAGGGCAGGGGCCGGTCAGGTTTTTGCAGAATTTCATCATCCGGCCGAATAAGCAAAAAACGCTCCTCATCGCAAACCCTGTCAGCAGAGTCCTCCTACGGGAATGTACGTAAGAGCCACATACACTGAGAGCTCGCTTCCGAGCTCTCACGCCGCGCGTAGGGCCCTTAGGGGCCTAGAGAACACAACCCCCCTCTCTCTTTTCTCCCAGTCAGCTAAAAGTACGAACTGAAAAAAATGCGGGGGTGAGCTAGCGGCGATTTGCTGCTCGGCTCAGACATCTAGACGTCAGACATGCGCATCTCGCCGGACGCCACCCGGCGTGCGATCCTCCTTCCGTTTGCGGCTGCTCTCATCTCCACCAGCGTGCCCGGCGCGGCGCTCGCGGGAGAGCGAGGCACTGCTCAGACGGTCGGCTTGGACACCGGCTCTCTCATCATCGACCCGAGGGCGCTCAATGCCGAGCGTGGCCTGATCTGGGGCGGCCGCGAGCGCTGCGACCCAACGGACGTAGCATGCACACAGGGCGGCGAGCTCATCACCGCTGCTGGCGAGCTGCCACCGCCGAAGCGACCAGTCGGGTATGAGGTGACGGACCGACTGAAGATGTCCTTCGTCGTCGCCGGCGAGCCGGCAGGCGACGTCGTCGTCGCTCTGTGGCGGCCCGCTGCTCCGACCGCCACGGACGCCTTTGTGCGGCTCGGCCGCGGGATGCTTACGACCGGCGAAAACGAGGAGCCGGCCTCGCTCGAGCGGAGCACAGCGGTGCGGATCATACGCAACGAGGCAGTTGTGCTCGGCGCGCTGCGCAAGCCCGGCGGCTCGACGCTGCTCGTCGCGGGACAGACGCGCCCTCAGCGCGTGCCGGTGGCGCCGCCAAAGTACGACGACGACAACAACCTCTCGCACGACGCGGCGGGCTGGCTGTCGGTGAGACGCGGCGGAGGTAGCTTCGAGTTTGTGCTCACGCCGCGCGCCAACCCGGCCCTCGACCGCGAGTGGCTCATCATCGGGCAGGTTGAGGAGGGCATGGGCCTCGTGGAGCGTCTGAACACGCTGCCAACCAACAACTACGACAGGGCTCCGCTCGCCACGGTGCAGTTGAGGTCAGTGACCGTGCTTTGACCTCAGGGACTACATCGAGCCCATAGAGCATAGTCATGAAACCCGCGACTCACATGGATGGTGCATATGCGATGGAGAGAGACCTGCTGGGAGCGTCTGATCTTTGTGTGTGTGCAAAAAAGCTAAGGCATAACATTAACAATGGCCCACCCGACCTCGTGGCTCGTGGTCGTGCGCACACCAGTCACAAGGGGGTTGCCTAACGTTAATTTGGGGCCTAAAACAGTTGCGCTATTGTTGGCTGAAATCCTCAACGTTCTACGTTGTTCAAAAGTGTTCACCCCAGCGCCCATGCTGTTAAACTGTTTGTTAGCTTACTGTTGTACTGTTGTTCAGCGGCCAGCAAGCAGAAAATGGCAAAAACTCCGGGTAAAACCCGAAAATACCTGGGGTTTCCGGGTATTTTCGGGTATTACCCGCACTGGACACTAGAGATCGTCGTGGGTCACTGGTAGCAGGTAGGCCTTCCTTATTGTTGTTCAGTCGGCCTAACGTTACTCGTTACTACTGTTGCGGTTGCGGCCGGTTGTCCGGGAGAGCCCCACTGTTGTTCTGTTGTTACCACCTTCGTACTCTGTTAACACTAGCACATCACTGTTCAGCTCCTAACGTTAGGCAACCCTAGCACACACCGCGCACAGCGCGCGCCCGCCGGGGGGCCGCCGCCCCCTGGCTAGCCCCCTCTTCTCTGGGCCGGCGCGGGGCCCCCCGGAGGCACCGTGCGCCGCGCCGCAGTGCGGAAACGGGGCTCCGGCTCTATGAGTCTCTATGAGCACCGACTTCCCGAATGATCACGGTTGATCAGAGGGCAGATTTGGAGAGATCTCGAGGAGTACATACAGATAGACCCTCCAACCATCAGAAAACTCCGACCTGATCGGTCGTACTGACCGCCGACAGATCACTCCAGACAGCAGACAGGCCGACGTCTGCACGCGGCCGGCCGGGCGAGAGGCTTGACACGATCCGACCCTGCGACCCTGACGCTGCTGCTCTAGCTATCAGACATGCACTGCTGACTGCTGCCACAATGTGCGACCTGTGCTGGCCCACTTGGCGGCCTTCCCGGTCAGTGGTGAGGCGCAGTTCAGAGCTGTCGATGGCGCGATGCCGCACTGGTCCCACATTGGTGACACGAGACCACCAAGTTTGCCGGTCCAAGAGAGAGGCGCCGGCGCTGTCCTGAGAAGGTGCGTGGTCCCTCTTGACTGCCCATGCGCGCGAGGCTGTGTAGGCATAGCCTCGAGAGTGCCAGCAGCCAATCCGAGGTGACGCGCATTGCGCCAGAAGCGTGCACGCAGCTGGAAGGACACCTTCCTACTGGCCGTACGATCACGTCATCACTGAATGCTTGATACAAAGGCCGCGAGCTATGCAGGTGATCAATTGTGCATCATGGCACGGTCAGCTGCGCCGACAGGCTGTCGCAAGGCGTGATAGCATGGCCGCAAGTACGCCGAATTCCCATGAAAACAAGTAAAAAATCGCGAAAAAAAACTCCAAAAAATCGGCGCCTGCGGCGGGCCATGGGACCCCATCTCCCCCCCGCATGGACACCCTCTGGGGCCCCCGCGCCGGCCCAGAGCCCCTCTTTGTGACCCACTTGTCCCTTATTGCTTATAGTGTTCGTTGGCGTTTTAGAGGGGATTCCCGAGGCGGAGCATTCCCTGTTGGTTTTTAAATAACTAAATAAAACGGACACCTCTCTCTACTGTGAGATGGGTAAAAAGGAACAGGTCCCCCCCCGCCCGTGCGAGATCTCTTTGACTTTTTGTGCAGGGTTCCGTGCTTTATTGTTGGTTTTGCCTTTATGGCGAGTGTGTATTTCGTCCTACACTGTATGCTGTATCATACATTTCACAAGGAACGGCAGACGATCCCACATTGTCCCGGCTTCACGCCGGCGAGGTCTCGCATCGACCGGCAGCGCGCCGTCCGGGTTGCTCTCTCGACTTCTCTCTCGGCTCGCCCGCGGGGCCGCGGCTCGAGGGCTGTTCGGGCTTTAGCCCGGGGAGTGGGTCACTCAGCAGCGAGCGGCGCGAACACCTGCAGCTCCGAGCGCGACCGCACGAAGCGGGCGTGCGCGCGCGTCTCGTCGACCGGCGATGGCCACTCGACGTCCACGTCGTGGCCTGACGACTTGAAGGTATACTGCTTCTCCGAGATCATCGAGGCGGGCTGCTCGTGCACGAGGGTCGACACGCCCGGGAGGGGGATGCAGAGCTTGTAGTACTCGTCGCCCTCAAACTTGGAGCTGTCTCGATGCCGTGAGGTGGAGTGGCACAGCGCCGGCTCGGAGCTGCCTGCCTCATCGCCGCCCGCACCCTCGCCCGCACCGCCCTCTCCCGCACCGCCGGCGCTCATGCCGGCAGCGGCCGCGGCGAGACCGTCCGCCTTCCTCTCGTCGGAGGAGGCGGCGGCCTCTCCGCCGCTCACCGCACCGCTGCCCGCCTCCTCTGCCGCCTCCGAAGCGGAAGGCTGGGGCGAGGCCGGGGGCGCGGGCGCGTCGGCGTCGGTTGAGCTGGAGGCGGCGAGAGCGGCGGAGGAGGAGGCTGCCGAGGCGCCTGCGTCTGCGTCCGCGTCTGCGTCTGGGTCGGCGTGCTGGGCGGGCTCGGCGGGGAGGCGGCGGTAGAAGAGCATGT